ACGCTGGTGGACGCTGCCACAAAGTATGAAAGCCTTATGCAACCGATTTCAATTGTCTAAGTTGTCATGATGGCAAGAGCAGTACACTCAGCAGATTCTATCAAGCCTCCGAATGAGATTCCTTACTGATAAGTAGTAATTATTTGATTTTAACCTTTTCAACCTTCGAGGAATTACCACTTCCATTTGAAGGGATTAACACTTCCACTCATATTCGATCTCACCGCAATAGGTGTCAACAGACGTGGAACGAACCCACTCGCGGCTGTATCTTCCTCCGATAGTGGCAACCTTTTCACTCATTTTTCGGTTAAGGTAGAAACCAATGTAGAAAACGCCGCGACTGGGTTTACACCCCACCCCTCCTGTCACCTCCCCACCGAATTACGACCACATAACTGCAGAAAAGTGTACTGAGATCATTACCTTCGCTCATCAGCACATTGGTCGTACTTCTTGCTAGGTTTGCGAGTGTGCTTTGAGACGATGAGGCGTATGAGGGCTAAATTATTCATCTGGTTTCACTTCTTCATAAACTTTCCTGTATCAAGGAGATCAAAACTCGTGAAAACTTTCAAAATAGGGGATATTCTGGAGTGGTACAAGAGCAGGGCTGGGAAAAGACCCTTTTTTGCCATTTTTCTCTAACAATTTTGATGGCTAGTCACGCAGGAACTGTGTTACAGACAGTGTTCTATCGAGATGGTTTGAAAGTGACTGCATTTGTAGTGCAGAGAAAAGTTAACCACAGTGGAGCTGGAGAATACATACAGTCGTATTCGCTGCGGATACTGGGGCGTGTCTGGGTACGGGGCTGGGTCTGCCGTGGCGCCACTCCCTTTTCCACCAATTGCTTATCCGCTTCAGCAACTCGTAGAAATCGGGCTGGCTCCTCGCCAAACTGCTCTCCAGACATGCAGCACCACCCACAGCGAACGAGACTATATTTTGCTCTGCCTTCTGTCCAGGTGAGTAACTCAGTATGTGTTCCATACACCATGACTATTAAGGTTTTCGGTCCCATCCAGCCCAAGGTTTGGAGGGTTGCAAAACCCAAACTCTCCAGCCATGGGGGATTTCCAGCTGTTTTCAGTTGACTCCTGTTGATTCCTCCTTTCACTTCACCACTACGATATAGGACATCTTTACCTGGAAAGTTGACTGCGCTGCTGATCGACCCGTTCCTGTCAGGGTAGTAGGTGTGACCGATATGGTTTCCTTATTTTCCTTGCCGACAGTCTAAATAAATATACGGCAGTGTTTCCATGCAGGCTTGACGATAAAAGGGTCAAGTTTTTAGTGTCTGATTTCAAGAATATACGATGGATAACATACGGTTCGAAATTATGCAGTGAGTAGTATCAACATGGGAAGGCAGGCCCATGCAGTTTGGAAGATGGGTAACTGCACACTACATATTCTTTCCCCCGGGGCCCGCAACTTCGATAGGTTTTTACACAGTACGTTGGGACTTTGGGCTGTTTGAAGGCTCCAGATAGTTGGGAAGTAAGGAGGCTGTCGCTCAGTAGGGGGTGGGGTGTAACATATAGAAAAAGCAATAAACTAGAATTACCGCAGGCAAGCATCTTGAAATCGCAACATCTATAGCGGGGATTTGATTCGAAAATCGGGAACTGTTCTGAGAATCTCTACAGTAATAAATGTGAAATGTCCTGGAATCTGTTGACCTAATGTTCCGCCCTTTTATGCATTCCGATTTCAGAAACTCAGAACACAAACCATTTCACATATATGGCGATGAATGTTTACTTACTTCTGTTCTCTTTCCGGCTTTATTCCTAGGACTAGGAGGAGTTATTGGTTCTGCGCTTCTATACGGATTTTCCTGCTTTGTCTGGAAAGTAGAACTTCGATGTCAGATGAAAAAAATCATAGATTCCTCGGTGTGCGAAAGATTATTTGTTATGTTAAGAGGCCAAGATGTACAGTGGATTTCTTATCCGGCAGTGGGGCGGTCCTACCCCACGCTGGCAAGCGGTCCGACGCCGTCGCGATCGATAATGGCTGACACGCCCATCAAACTAATTTCTGTTGTTTTCAGCATCTAGAAAGCTCAAATTTTCCTCGTCCGGCTTTAATAGGGAAAGGTAAATTGTTCTACTGAGGCTAGGTTTCATTTTGCATGATTTTTGTCAATAACGTCGAATTAAACGTCGACAGTCAAGAGGAGTTCAAAAAAATGCGAAAACAGAAGAAACTAATTTTCTAAGAGAAGTTCATGCTAAAATCATGCAAAATGTTATCTAACTTCAGCAAACGTACTCACTTTTCCGAATTGGTCTTGAGGAAGAGTTTCAGCCTCTACTAGCTGAATACAATAGAAACACAACAAAAAAAATACCGCAGAAATCAGCTGATTGGTAGCGTTAGCAATTATCGATTGGCGAGAGTCCAGACGGAAGAGTGAGTAGGTGGTGCGGCGGCGTGTGTTCGAGCGCAGAGTCAATGTCAGAGAACGCAGAGGCAATGATGATAATCGCCCAGGCTTCGCCTTTCCACCGACACGCGACCGTCGGACCGCTTGCCAGCGTGGTCGTAGAACCGCCCCACCGTCGGATGAGAACTCCACTGTAAAGCAAGTGGGTTGGTATCTTGACCGACGTCATTTGTATGCCATGTAAAGACACGAAACACTTTCATGTCTCCACCCAGAACCTTCTTCTACTACCTATCCAATATTATCGAATTCAAGCACCCAAGCTGAATTACTATGCATACTGCCATTATGCATACTGACCCCGTGGTAGACAGCTTCAGACTTCGCGATGACGCGCGACGACATGCTGCAATGCGCTATCATTGCAATAGCGCCAATCCTAAGGACACGAA